CTTCCTTGCAGAAATTCCAGCCGGATCCCACAGCCGGGAGCAGTGCCACCACCGCCCCTTTCGTGCCCAACCTCAACACAATCACCAGCAGCCACAACCTGCAGTGGATGGTGCAGCCTTCGCTCATGGGCGCCTCCTCGGGACTCCCTCCTCCATTCCCCCGTCCTTACCGCTGCCCCCACTACGCAGCTGGCATCCGTCCTGGCGTCATTCGCACCACGGGCCCCGGCATGGTGCCTCGGAGGCGCCACTCCGAGCACGTGAGTATCTGGAAAGGGAAAACTCTGCCACAAACCATTCGATGAACGTTTCCTTTGTTTTCAAGTATTATTTTAATATCGTTATTTTTAACCAATAAAAATATATCATTATTATTATTATTTGTATAAATAACTCATTGAACCCCATGGCAAAGTTGAAGTCCTCACAATTTACAGTTGCCGGATTTGAGAAGTTCTCTCTCTCTCACACACACACAGCCCCTTTTGTTGCACTTCAGTTTGCACACTTGTGTCAAAATAATTTTAAAACAGGAAAAAAAGTTTGGAGAAAGGGAAAAAAAAGAAAGTGAAGAAATTGGCAGAAAACCAGGAAAAAATTCTCCTGGATTTTTCCTGGTGTTTTGCGACCCCTGCTGGCCATTAGGTAACATAACCATTTGAGACTCCAAACCAAATTTGTTGAAGCCACCATAACCGAATAACAGGGTTGGAAGGGACCTTGGAGGTCATCTAGTCCAACCCCCCTCCTGCTCAAGCAGGCAGCCCTATGTACCATTTTAGACCAACGGCTTGTCCAATCTATGGATCTATGGACAGAGGGGCACCACTCTAATTTTGGCTCTTATTGGATGCTGCTGTCCCTTAAATGCAGGCTGCGCAGGCCAGCGGGTAGGGAACGATGGGAGATGTAGTCCAATCCTGAAAGTTGGAAAATATTAAAAAATAAAAATTGCATTTACGGTCCGCTTCCTTATACACACCATAATCTTGGTTTGCGGGTCTGGAGATTCAGTCTAGAATCAACCAGAATTGGATTAAAAATGGTTCTGAAAAATCGGGATGTACCCCCAGAACAAGTACTCCTCAACTTACAACCGCGGCTGGGATCAGAATTTGCGTTGCTAAGCAAGGCAGTTGTTAAGCGAGTTGGGACCGATTTTATGACTTTTTGTTGTTGTTAAGCAATTCACTGCCATTGTTAAGTGAACCACCCAGTCATTAAGTGAATCTGGCTTCCCCAATTGACCTCGCTTGTCAGGAGGTCACAAAAGGGGATCACGTCACCTGCAGCCGTCATAAATACGAGCCGGTGGACTAGCATCTGAATTTTGATCCCACAACCGGGGGGGGGATGCTGCAACGGTCAAAAGTCCAAGGAACCGGTCGTAAGTCACTTTTCCAGGGCCGTCCTAACTTTGGACAGTCGCTAAATGAACGCAAGGTTGAGGGGCTACCTGTATCTCGGTTTCTCGCAGGTGTGTGTGTGTGTGTGTGTGTGTGTTGCATTCAGGGTTGTGTTGTGCCCTGGGCTGGTTCCGCAGGCAGTCGGTTTGGGTTGTGTAGTTGTTAAACTCCGGATTCTCCTTCGCAGCTCACCCCGGAAGAGGAAGAGAGGCGGCGTTTACGGCGGGAACGGAACAAAATGGCGGCCGCCAAATGCCGCAATCGGCGCAAAGAGCTGACCGACACGTTGCAAGCGGTGCGTTTAATGGCTTCAATGGGTGGGCGGATGGGGGGGTCAGACTGGATGACCTCTGAGGTCCTTGCAGCCTGAGCTTCCTGAAGGTGGACAGGGTCCTAACGAAAGAAGGGGTTTTGTTGTTTTCATTTGGTGGATTGGGGAACGAGGGAGGGGGCCAATCGGTTCCTGGAGTGGGGGCATTAGGAGGGCGGTATAATTCTGGTTTGCAATGCCAGTTTGCGAAACGGGTTCATTTGGTAACCAGGTTAATCAGGACACGCCAAAAAAAAACAGCAATAGCCATACTTCTTGTCAATGTCGTCTTGCACAACATAGAATCACAGGGCTAAGAAGAGGTCATCTAGTCCAACCCCCTGCCCGAAGCAGGAATCCTTATACCAGGTATCTCCAAACTTAGCCACTTTGAAGACTTGGGGACTGCAACTCCCAGAATTCCTCACAGCCAGCATTTGGCAACATTTAAAGAGTTGTGGACTTCAACTCCCAGAAATCCCCTAGGAAGCGGGGCTGGCTGGGGAATTCTGGGAGTTGAAATCCACAAGTCTTCAAAATGGCCATGCTTAAAGACACCCCCCCCCCTGGCCCTTGCAGGGTACTCCTCAACATACGACCAGAATTAAGCCCAACATTTCAGTTGCTAAGCCAGACGTTTCTGAAGTGAGCTTTGCCCTGTTTTACGACCTCTCTTGCCACCGTTGTTAAGTGGATCACAGTGGTTGTTAAGTGAGTTGCACAGTTGTTCAATGAATCCGGCTTTCCCTGTTGACTTGGCTTGTCGGAAGGTCGCCAAAGGGGATCACGTCACCCTGGGACGCTGCGACCATCACAAATACGAGTCAATTTGCCAATTTGTGTCTAAATTTTGATCACGTGACCACGGGGGAGGCCGCAACGGTCATAAGTGGGAAAAACGGTCCTTTTTTTAGTGCCATTGTAACTTTGAACGGTCACTAAATGAACTGTTGTAAGTCGAGGACTACCTGTACTTATGAACTGACCTGGGTAAGTGTGGTTGGTGAATTTAACTTACTTATCTTCCAAACACTAAACTTCAAATTAAGTAATCTGAACCTGAGGCAGGGGGTTGGACTAGATGACCTACAAGGTCCCTTGCAACTCTGTTAATCCATTAATAAATGGTGTAGGGTCTCCTGCTTGTGCAGGGGGTTGGACTAGATGACCTACGAGGTCCCTTCCAACTCTGTTAATCCGTTAATAAATGGTGTAGGGTCTCCTGCTTGTGCAGGGGGTTGGACTAGATGACCTACAAGGTCCCTTCCAACTCTGTC